TGATGAGCTTTTATTTTTACTCGGATCTCAAAGCCAGCGTATTTTTGGTACACTTGTGGTTTTTTATGGAACAGGAGCCCTTTGAGGTTCTTGCAGCCCTAAGCTCTTGCTTAGATTTCGTATGCTTAATGCCACCACCGCTAATGTCCACCTGATGAGCTGTGCATTGCTTTGTCCAATGCTAACGTTTTCTCAGGTTTAAATTTAACATTGACAAAAAAAATCTAAAAACTGCCTTAAAATGTAATTGAATTTTATAGCACAGCGTATTCATATTTTATTTAGGTGAGTTTAATTTTTAATGCGCAAAGCTTCGGCCGTTAAAAGATCTGGCATAGTTGTAGCATTAAATAAGTGAAAGAGGCACACGCGTGAACCCACAAAGTGGACGCATCCCACGCTTCAGTGGCGATTGCAGGAGACAAATGTGCAGCGTGACACGTTGTGTTTGTGTCACTGTCAGATGTGGACAATCGATTAATTGAAGGCGAAAGGTTTTGTTGAATTGTATTGCAACCTGGATTCACTTCCACACCTTGTGTGTACCTGTGACCAAATCACCGTGATGAATGTGCCTGATCTCGTTAGATCTCAGCAACTAAGCAGAGTTTGCGGCTAATCAGTCTGGTATGGAAGACTGCATGGGAATTAGTAGGTGTTGTAGGCTTAGGCTGCGAGGTTGCCAAGACATGGCAACTGAGCAATGAATGTGTGAGATATCTGTGTGAAATGTTATTCTTCTCATGTGCATTGGTTTTGTCCGCATAAACCCAGTTTCATCCTACATTTAAAATTCTCATCAATGAAATTTAGTTAAACAAGACAGAACAGGACCCTCCTTAAGAAAGTCTTGAGATCCATTGAGCTATTTCTGGTAAACACAAACAACTGATATCATTATTTGAGTGGGAATAGTGGTATAGTGTACACTGCTGGATGAACCTGGAAACCTGACTTTGAATCCTGGCCACGGCTCATAGTTGTGGAGAGTGGGACATGAACTTGTGCTGGGCGCCATGGTGGCGAGATGTTAACTACCTCGCCTGATATACAGGAGGTCGTGGGTTCGATCCCTGTATATTTGGAGTTTCCATGTTCTCTCTCCCCACGGTGGCGTGATTTTTTTCTCTGGGTCCTGGGGTTTTTTTCCTCCACATTTTAGAAACGTGTGTTTTGAGTATTATGCTGCTATAAATTTCCACGGGATTAAATCACTTCGTTGAGTAATCATTTACAATAGCCAAGTCGCTTCTGACAGAGAGATGCATAGCTCAGTGGGCCTTACCTCGTAAAATAAAAATAAAATGGTTTAGGTTTAGTTTCATCCTCGACCCCTCTCCACCACCTGACACTGACCAGGAGGTTGAGATACGGTCATGCGACCCCACACCCGACTTGGCAGTGGGTTGCCGAAGGACTGTAAATAATTTTTTTTGTGTAGAATAAAACATGTAAAATAAATGTTTTGATCTTGATTTGAAGCTTTCGTGACTGCAGGAATCCATACTCTTTGGTTATTTCGGTAAAGTCACGTAGGTAGAAAAAAGAATCAAATAAAACACGACGTTTTGGTCGCAACACAAGCGGCCGTCTTCAGGTGAGAAAAGAATGTATCTGCTGTTGTGGCTTTACATAGAAATTTACACTTACTAAAGACGATCTAATTCTGTGCACAATTAGGTCAACTTCAAATTTAGTTAACTAGCCTTTTGCCCGTCCAAGGTCGAGTGTATTTCAGTAAATCTAAAACTTGCAAGCGAAAATCAGACCGCGACGTGATATATTCATTGCATCCAAGCGTGTGCAATTTGTCAGGGCGCGGTGACAGACTTATTTCATTTAAAGGTTATAATCCCTTGTTCATCATGACGTCTTTTTTACTTTGATGTCTCAACAGCGCTACGGAGACCACGTGACGTGAGGGTTCTGCCTTTGTAGTGAGGGTTGTCAGTTGACGCCGAGGAGGGGGGAGGAGGCGCCTCGCCCCCCCCATGTGGAGTGACGTCACCCGCTAATTATTATGAATAGGGGGAGGGGGGGTGTCCATTTGGATGACGTCACCTGCTCATGATTATTGAGGGAGAGGGGGGGTGTCCATTTGGATGACGTCACCTGCTCATGATTATTGAGGGAGAGGGGGGTGTCCATTTGGATGACGTCACCTGCTCATGATTATTAATGAGGGGGGCTGTTCGATGGGGAGTGACGTCACTTGCGCATGATTATTAGTGAGGAGGGAGTACTCCATATTGAGTGACATCACCCGCTCATGGTTATTAATGAGGGGTGGGGGGGGTGGGTCCATTTGGAGGACGTCACCTGCTCATGAATATTAATGAGGGGGCTGGTCGATGTGGAGTCCCGTCACGCGCGTTCAGGACAGACATTCATCGGTGATTATAGTCGGTATAACGAGGATGTGGTGACAACATTAAATGTGGTTGGCACAGTACTGTCACATTCTCTGTAGATTATAAATTATAAATGTCACTTTATTGTATGGCAATACTGAGCAATGCGTTGACGGAGCTTCGAAGATAAAATCATAATATGCTTAAACGAATTATATTTTTGATATCCAAAGGGTAAACACAATCAAGAATGTTTCACATCCAGACAGCACAGATAAGAGAAGAAAATACCAAGAAAATGATCTCTTATGCAAACATGCGCACAGTGATTGTGATCCAATGGGTAACTTAATTTGTCAAACTCTAATCTCAGTGCTGCGAGGCTGCGCTGCATGTGTTTGGCATACATTTAAATCCTGGAGCATATTTTGGAATTAAATGCCTGGGTGATTGCTCACAGAGCTTTGTTAATCGTATCGAGTGTAATGCAGCTGATTCCGTTGGCGTCAGCTGGGTGGAATACGCAAATTGGCGTCGGACCTAGGGTGCTCGTGAAATTAAACATTATTGATGGCATGCGACTGGCATGCACCACACTGTTTGCAGCATACCCCAGCACATGCGCAACTCCAAAAGGCCATTAACATTCACGCATCACGAGCGTTTGCTTGTTATATATAGAAAAACAAATTAACCGTTAAACTGCTGGCGTTTAAGTGTGAATTTTAATTGCGGAGCACGTGCTAATGTCTGAATTATAATCTTGTAATCCAGGTTAAGTCCACATCACCACGCGTGCTTTGTGTGAACAACGTGGTACTTTAAAGACGTCTGCTGATTTCAATTGCAAAACTCTGCATTAGTACAAGGGCTTCAAACTGGCTGGAGTTTAGATATGGCAATGGTTGCTGTTTCGTGAAGACTCAGATGTTGAATGAATCATTTATATTCAATCGTCTTCTCAGCCTCAAGAAATTTGGCAGTCAAAACAGGCCATTTAATTATGTAGTTTGTTGTCGAAATTTCCTTTTTTTGCTTCTTTTATACAAGGCAATTTAATTTACAGAACTCAGACCGACAAAATGCAGCAAATGTTAAATGTAATTTATAGTTGTGAGTTGAAATGTTCATCTTGACCTAAAAAAACGATGGATTGAATTTCAAACAAATTTTGTATTGGAAGCTAGATATTACAAACGATTTGCATACAGCAGTTGAATCCAGCCGCGATATAAATAAAATCTGACCATGCATGCCAACACTGAGCAAGCAATAGTTATTCCTTATTTAACCAGATGATAAGCCATTTCAGACTTTTTATTCTCTTGCATGGGAGACTTCCGTAACCTCACTGGCGAATCATAACCGGAACAGTGAAGCCGACGCCAATCCTCTGGCCCCCTGTTTTGGCGAACATTCGACCACCAAATAGACATGCGAACACTGCGAGGGAGTTTATGTGTTTACTTGTCAGTTACAACCTTCCCATCAACCAAGACCTCAACAATGTACATTGCTGTGGACCTAAGTCACGATTTCCCTCCTGGAATTTCCATTGCTGTCACCATTCTAGAATCTCACCCAGATGTGGAAGAACGCTGGGAAACAGAGTGGAACAATGCAGACATCCAGAATAAACACCTAATTCGGGACCTAAACATCGGCACATCTTGGCTTTAAGACTCCTCCTTAAAGACATCGGTGTAACCATCAACCGCATCAGAACATCAACAGGCCCATGTGCACATTTCCTTCATAAATGGAACATTTAAAACAAGCTGCAGTGCGATTGTGTCCAACCAACCCAAACTATGGACCACAGAGTAAACCACTCTGTAGTCTGTATTCCTTCAACGGAAGAACAGCAAAACTACCCAAACTCACTCCTGAAGCCCTCACTGAGCTACGAGACCTGGACACTATGAGATCTCTTTTACCAGTGGCCAAATATAGTAGTAGGTTTTTACCCTTTTAAACTGGTACAAAACTGACACCTTTATTCAAGGCATCATGTTTGCAATAACCACAACACAAGCAGTCAAAAAAAGCAAACAAAAAGAAGCAACTCTGATAATAATATGCACTCTAAAGAAAGCCGTCTCGGGTGTGGACCAATCAACTTCAAGGACAGTGCATATTATTATCATTATCAGAGTTGCTTCTTTTTGTTTGCTTTTTTTGACTACTTGTGTTGTGGTTATTCCAAACATGATGCCTTGAATAAAGGTGTCAATTTTGTACCAGTTTAAAAGGGTAAAAACCTACTACTACGAGACCTGGACATTTGCATTTAGCTCCTCAACATATTTCCATACGAAGAATAGAACTGGCGAATCACATTCATGGGACAGACTGGTCGTTTTTTTGTGTATGTGTATATGAATACTGATCACGAACAACCCTTGTAGCGATCTAATTTTTACAGAAAGACCCAGTACGTCGGTGCGTGCCCACATAGTCCTGTATTTGTGACTGCCACGTGCAGTGGTGGAGTGAGAAACCCACCGAGGAGGACAACATCTCCTCCATCTCATCTCAACAAGCAATGAGGTCGTGTGCCCTGTGTGTCCGTGACAGGCAGAGGGACACCAGCGGCCGCAGTAAACACAGAGAACCTCCCTGACCTCTCCACTCTTATCTTTGCTGCAGGAGATGCCCCCTACTGTACCCCGGAGCAATACACGGAATGTGCCCGCCCTGTACTCGGTACGTACAACACAGGCACCTTGTGCCACCTAATGATGAACACATAATCCCCTGTAACGCTCACATGTCTTGTATTGGCTTTTGTGGATAAGGGTTTCTCTCCGGTTTTTTTTACTTTGTGGGACCATGTTTTTATCCACATTTTTATTTGAATTGTTCTCATCGGGATCGTGTCATGAGATGAAGTGTCCTTTCGGAGCACTTCCAGAGTAATGCATCACCATGCAAGTAACATAAAGCCCCACTGAGGATATACCACAGAAATTCATCTGACATCTCTTCAAGTGACCTTTTTATATGCACACTATGGGGCATACTTTCCAATTTTCTCTTTGACAGAGCAATGTTCAACACACGTAATTCAACCTAATAAAAAAATCATTGTCAAAGCAATGGTTTATCCGCATCAAACAAAAGACCAAATTTAACATGAAGGGTTTTTACTGCACTCATTGGTGATTATTCTTATATCTTCTTCGTCTAAGAACCTGGTTTAATCACAGATATTTGTCCAGATTTGAACCCAGAATCTCAACAATGCTGACTCAGTGCAATGACCTCTAAGCCACCCAGCCACTTCACGGAAAATATATTTTAAAAATAAAGTTTTGCCAAAACAATATTGAGTACATGTAATGATCCGTGACAGCATATAATGAGTTTGTGTACGATATTGCTTTTACGTTGAATGGGTTTCATAGATTATATATAGTTTATATCGTGTCCTTGCCCATAACATATGCTAAACCAGCAGCATTTGTTTAACAAACCTGATTACTGCTGATGAAACCAAAAATGTTGAAATCGGTCCAGAATTTGTTTGCTTAAATAAATTCTGTTCTTGAAAGACAATGGGCTGATGAACTTAAACATATTTCTACCGATATGTGGACACACAGAATGGAGTGGTTCTGCTAATATTTGTTTCCTTGAGGACCACATTGCAGCTGCAGCTATAATTCTTTGCCAGACGACCAGAGTGAACCACCATCCCCTTGTCTGTCACAGACGTCTTGGTGAAGAGGGACAATGACTTCTGTTTGTGCGAGACGCCGTGCAACATGACACGCTACGGGAAGGAACTCTCCATGGTCAAGATTCCAAGCAAGGCCTCGGCCAAATACCTGGCCAAGAAGTACAACAAGACAGAGGCGTACATCGCGTGCGTGCGCTTTCTGTCCCGATTGCGATGTAACTGGTGGCTTTTGGCTCATATCTACACACACACGCAGTCTGTGCCCACGACTGTGAATTCGTGAGAATCATCTGAAACGTTGTGTTGATATTGGTGTACCCCAATCTCACAAGAACATCACATAAACGTTCCTGTGTTTTTGACATTTTCAGCAAGACGAGGGGCTGCCATTGTCACAACGGGATGCATGATATCTGAAATGTGTTCTCCTTTTCATAGGGAAAATGTGTTGGTGCTGGATATCTTCTTCGAAGCCTTGAACTATGAGACGATTGAGCAGAAAAAGGCTTATGAGGTGGCTGGACTTCTCGGTCAGTGTTTAAGCACCTTCATACACGCATATTGCTCACCTTCATACACCTAACCCAGTGGTTCTTAACCTGGGTTTGATCGAACCCCAGGGGCTCGGTGAGTCAGTCTCAGGGGTTCGGCGGAGGTTAAGACACACAACCGACTCATATGATTGTGCACCAGTAAAACATATACCTATGTTTTGAATTTGAAAAAAATCATATTTTATTTTTCCAATTAAGAAGGGTTCGGTGAATGCGCATATGAAACTGGTGGGGTTCGGTACCTCCAAAAAGGTTAAGAACCACTGACCTAACCTGTCCTAGTTTTCCCAGGATCGTATTTTTTTAGGTAGCTTCCGGGAAATATTTCAGTCTTATCCCAGGACATTAAGTCCTGATTTTTTTTTGTGAATTGTGTAACAGTATACCACTCAAACAATGCATTCACGTGTCGTTCTCCCCTATCCTGGTAAGTTTTAGACATTCTCTTTTTCAGCTTCTTGTACCTCAAATGTTGCCACCTTACCTACTTGTACCCCTTGATGGGAAGCGCAGGCAGTGTTCCCACACTCCCTGTGGTATGGCCATTACATGCATCAGTTTGATTATTATGCACACAGCGCTCACCCTAAACAATGTGTGCCGGGGATGACGTCTATTTGCCTCTGGAGCTCTACACGCAGGGAAATACCGATAATTCCTCGGCGGTGACTTTTGACAGTGAGAAAGTGGAATGAGAAACACTTAATCTACGCGCTTTTGCAGACTGAAACAAGAGAAATAGTTTTACGGCTTTAATGGCGCATCTTTCTACCGCATGTTACACGAAGCGATTTAAACGTATTTAGCGGCGTGTCGCCCCAGTGTGGAAGTAAATCTGCAGGTAGCAAAGCGTGTGCCAAATTGTCTCCCTTTGTTTACGCCGGAACAAACAGTAACTCTTAAGGTGGGGTTTATTGTTTTTTATCACAGATGATGTTGTAAGTCCACACACTTTAATTATGTTTTTTTAAAATATATAACTAGCTTTACTACCCGGCTTCGCCCGGCCGCCTTTGTCTTCCCATTGGCGATGTTCACACACCACACGAGTTACTCGTTTGAGGCTGAGTCGACCTAGGGGAGGCCCAGGACCGGTTCAAATAATCGTCACCGGCGGTAGCCGTGAATCGAACTCGGGTCGCCGGGTTCGTAGCGCAGCGCGCTAACCACTACACTACCGCTCCCCACACACAAACACGCACGCGTCCATAGGTACACACACATACACGCGCTTGCTGCAGACACACAACTTTGAGGGTGCGTACGGCAGTTAACGACTGAAATAATAAAGCAATGCTGCGCGAAGAACGTCTGACACCTGCAACACATTTGTATTTCACTTTACCCGCGATCACACGGGTCACATGCCATATGTGACGTCACAGCTCACTTGCCGTGCAAAATATATACATAATTGCACCCCCCCCCCCCAAAAAAAAATATATACAAAAGTCTATTTTTATAAATTTTTCATGCTGTCCAGTCTGGAAAGTACCCACATGGCAAATTTCAAGTTTGTTGCATGTCGGAAAGTACGCTAAACATTTTGAACGGACACACATATTCACAAATTCCTCTTTTATAAAATATAAAATATAGAAGATTGTATCATACCCACTGAGAACTAAATGATTGTTTCATTTGCATTCATTGGCTTCTAATAGCCTTTTGCAGTTGCAGTTTACAACTATTCATGCGTAATTTTCTTCTCCAGTTACTATGTAATTATGCGGTAATTACAGTTTTGTTTTACAGTCTTTTATAATATATTGCTAATTATTTGAAGTAGTTCGGACTGTAAACTACTGTCTGTAATATTCTTATGTTCTGCTAAGAATAAAAGTGTGTTACCCTCATTAACCTCGCAATGCTTGTTATGCCAGAGATCTGATTATAGAGTTGACATTCAGCCAGTCCTCACAGGAGGGGGACGGGGCGTGAGGGGTTAGAGCAATAGTGCATTTGCTCCCAGAACGATAAACACCTTGGGATGAAAAAATATATATAAAAGCTGCTGGACCGCCTGACTGCAGACAATAAATTAACCACCTGTGGTGGCGGTCTGTCAGTTGAGTGTTAAGGAAATCTTGGAATGGAAGATAAGCTGGGTTGGAGAAAATTGGAGAAAAAAAATATAACGGGAATGCCAGAGATGTCTTCTGAGAGGTGGTCCACTCAAAATGACCCGGGTGGTGTTGAATGAGCCACGACCGCTGTAGACTTCGCTTTTCATCATCGAGTGTATCAGACTAGCTGTGGCATTCCACGGATTTTTTTAAAATATTTGTTTTGACCACATCATCAGTGACATGCTTTATAGTTTACAGTATTGGGCGGTGATATTTTCCAAAACAGTGTGCGCCAAAAGGAGGAAATTACTGCAACGCTGCATTTTTTTTTAATTGAGGCCATTACTTTGAGCAAATGTCTCATGGCGGGTGTCCACGCTGGACGCTGTGAGCCTTGCTGTGCGGGTCCGTCGCTGCCACTGCTCACTTTACTCCGCTGTCATTATTTACATTTTTATTATTTATACGTGGGCTACATGGCCAGCCGCTTTGTGCAGTAAGAAGCCACCCGTCGCATCGCAGCATCGTCTTATAATAATTACACTGCCTGGCAGTCGGTGCAGCCAGCGGCCCAGCCCATAACAACGCCACATGGCTCCCGGTGAAAAAAAATAAAACGGCCATTTGGTGAAGCCCAACCGATTGACGGCGTTCCCTTGGAGATTGCCTCGGGTTATTTTTTTTATTAAGATTAACATAAGCTGAAAAAGTCAATCCCTGAAAATGTAAGTCGGTTCATAAAGGCTATCAGATTATGGGAGATGGAGTAAATAGGTGTGACCGAGCGAGAGAAAAATAACTGATCTCACACCCTTCTCGCATTCTTACACAAACAGGGGACATTGGAGGACAGATGGGCCTGTTTATTGGGGCCAGCATTCTGACCATCCTGGAGATATTTGATTACGTGTATGAGGTAAGCAATGCTCAGACGTTCATGAATGTGCAGCCAAGACTTTGCCCTGATGATACACAGAATGCTGTAAATCACAATGTTGGATTTGTTGAAATGTGTTGGAAATGTCGAATATTGAATTAGCCATATATGACTCACATTTATAGTAAATGTCTTGGCTCTGCTTTATTTGCTGAACCCACTGTATTATTAAATGTACAGTCACTTTGACTTTAAACATTCATATAAGCAATACTGTGATAACAATTTTTACTTCAACATTTTTGTAAAAAGCAAAGCATATTTTAAGAAGTACTGTCAATCATAAACGTACAAACATGCACAGATCAGGGTGCGTGAAAACATATTTTGTATATTTTTAAGATCATGTTTTATTTATGAATGCCTTTAAGTTCTCACCCTGCATTATTTTCATATTCAAATATATCATTTGTCTTCCATTTCAGTTGATCAGAGACAAAATCCTCTTCTACTTTCGAGCCAAGAAGAAGCAAAAGACCGAAAGCAAAGACACCTCCCTGCCCATGACGGTCAATCTCCTTCTCTCCGCTCCTTGCAGTTACATTTGACTCCATGGTCTGCTGGGCAGTTCTCAATGAGCTGTTCATCTTGGTATTGTGCTATATAGTGCCAACTTTCAGACCATTCTAGTTCTCGCTACCGACCAGACTAATGCCTGTTTGCAGGCCAGATGCCGAGTCATCTTGTGCCCACAGGGACAGCTGCCACTTGGGAGTGCGCTTGCAAATGTTTAAGATGAGATGTGAGATGTAAAGTGCTCTGAGATGCCCCGGTGCGATATCAAACACATTGCGTTCTCATACATGTCAACCCATATTCATACGTAATTTTCTTCCGATTCAGTTGATCTGAGACAAAATCCTCTTCTACTTTGATGTCAACCCAAAGGAGTTGGGTTGACATGTATGCGTGAAACCCCCGCTGAAAAACCTGGGTGGAGGGAGGAAAATGTATTATTATTTTTAACACAAACCAAAATAATATTAAAAAAAAAACTCTACATGCAAGTAAACGCGAAGTGCTACCCAAATGAACATTATCACAGCATGGTCAAAATTGTCACTGTGTCATTTTTGTCCTGAAGTGCTGCACCGTCAGATCTTCGTACACCCCTGATGCCACCGGCCATGCTAATGTCCCATCTACAAACCGTGCGGAAAGCAGCTAATCGTTCTCATAGTTGTTGATGCCAGGACGCCGTCACACTCGAGTTGTCCGCTGTGGAAAACATTGCGGGAAATAGATCTCGTGTCACTTTTAGGTGGCTCCGTGTTTTGCTCTCAAGCGCAGACTCTCTGAGTAATTCGTGCAAAGAAACATTTAACTGTCACGCAGCAGGCAAGGGTGAATCTACTTTTAGAGAAAAGAACGGTGTTGCTGAGCCTTACATAAGACCTGAATCATCAGTAACAGCTGCACTGCAATAAACAGGGCTGAATGTATTATTCCAGGTAACCGAACAAATAACATTGCAATCCATTGCATGGCCGTGAAACACTCAAAATTGTGGGTATCAAGGGTAGTCCTTGAGACTTGACATATATGCCTTCGACACGTGCTCGATGATTGGGGAACATGCCCCAGGTGATGTGCAGTGATGATTCAAAGAAGATACAGATCTTGTGTGTGTATGTGTATTTCATGGCCTCAACGTGCACATGGCCTGGCACAAGCAACGTGGTCACCTCACCGCCACTTAGTGGCGAATGGCGGTTGTTATTGTATTCCATGTGTTTACCAAGTGTGTGCAGCATGCAGGAACCTGATTTAAATTGGAGAGAAAATTGGAGAGAAAATTGGTAAATGTGGAAAAAATTACTGTGGTGGGCCGTGGTGAGCGGAGTTTAGGAAGCTCTGCTGCAGAGCATTGCTAGACACACGATGCAAATTAACTTAATTAACTTCAATCATAAGTATGGCTGCTTTTGAAGTGTTATGCATCATATCTACAATGAGACGCACTGAATTACAATGCAAACTTCGCCTTTTGAAAAGGTGTCTTTATTTTAATTTCTGATTTCCTCAACGTTTCCAATAATAGTTACAGTTTCTAACCTAGACATCTTTTGCCAATTAGGGCACTTTGAAGATGGTGTCCATAAACGGGACCCACAGGTTGTAGGGGTACTGGCACCAGGCTATGAAGAGGGCTATGAAGAGGGCTATGAAGAGGGCTATGAAGAGGGCTATGAAGAGGGGGCTGGGCACCCATCTCATTCCTTGCACTAGAAGCCCAAGCCCACACGCCGCTGTCCCCTAAACCACAAGTGAGCCGAGATTGCGTGTAACGCCACCAGATACGCTACCGAGCTCCTATTGTGCCAAGCGACCCGTGAGAATGAATGTCCCTATTAGCTCTCACTGCGTGTTTTTTTTTTCATATCGTGCCACAGGATATTTGTCAATGATGTCCAACGTTATGCTCTGCAGGTTCGGAGCGTCTTCATGAACTGATGGAAATGATAGTTCCTGCAGTCTTAAAAAAAACACATTCTGACAAAGAATTGCATGAGGATCGAAATATAGAACTCAGCTCCCGAAGGAGCTCCAAGCACGTGGAATGAAACGTCAGACATCATGCCGGACAACACTCGGCACAGCCCGAAAGCACAGCGGCGACACCCTACGAAGTGGTAACGTCGTCCCCCCTGTGCCACCCACCCCTTTGCCACCCACCCGTGTCCGCACAGGGCCCATGCGAGGCGCTGCGTGGCCACAGTGAGAGTGCCGGCTACGCGGCCAGCATGCTGCCCCCTCCGCACCACCACCACCAGCACCACGCCTTGCACCACCACGCGGGCGGCCGGCCCGGCTACGAGGACTTCACCTGCTAGGCGTGGGCCTCGCTCTCTCGCTCCGACGCCCGCTCCGCTCCGCCTCGCCCCACCTGAGCGTGGCTGACACAGCTCCTGGTGGGGCGTGGGGGGTAAATGCACCTGGAGGGGAGAGTGTTTGCGAGGTGTTGGCGCCTGAAGACAGCGGGGGAAGCGAGGGAGGTGGAGCACAGGCGGCACGGTGGAACGGGCTGCCCGCCAGTCGCTTAAATGAATGGCTGCCAACAGGCCTTATAAGTTCACAATGTGGCCATGTTGAGCGGTGGCTGCTGGGAATGTAGGGCAGAGTGGTTGGGGAGTGTGGAGGTGGAGGGGACATATTCTGTGTAAAAATGTAATTGACGTTAGCCCAATTGTAACCACGTAAACCATCACTGTTCCACGTTCCATGTCGGGAAGCCACCTCTGCAGAGGATACCCCTGTACCTTTACTCGTGGTGATAAAGGTTTACCTAATTTATTTTTTTCACATTTGGTTACAGTCCACTAATTCTGTATGGAGTAGCACAAACGTGCTGCATTACTGTTAAGTGCGCAATTAGCGTTAAAGGGACGTATGTCGTTTTCTACTCCAACAGACTCCAACTCTGCCCATAGCTTCCGAGAATCAAACAACCACCGTGGCTCTGTACAAAATCTAACATGGCACTGCGCATGATGTCCCCATCACTCCGACCGCCGCCCTCCCCGCGTGCTGAATTAGCCAAGGACAATCTTTTGTCAACAACACCTCATATTGTCTTCTCTCAAGTCTCGCTCGTGCGTAGGGAGTGAGTAATCTCCATGCGTCATCTGTCATCTCACAAAACCGCAGGGACTTTGCTGGTTAGACTTGACAATGAACAAAAAATACAATGTATTGAAGTTCGAGCCAAGGTAATCCTCTTATATTTTTTATATCTTATCACAAGCATAAGATTGCAAAAGCTGATTAGATTACATTTTAAGTGGTACCTCTTGCAAATCTTACAACTTGTGAAAAGAAAATGGTACTCGTGTGCCATTAACTTTTTAATTTTTTTGCAATGCTTATAGTTTCAATTTTTGAAGGAAAAACATGTTAATAACAGTCGCATACTTCTAATTTTACTTGCACACGTATCACTTTTTTCTCAATTGTTGTGCGTAACGTTATGTAAATTTTCTGCGACACCGTTGGGTCAAAAAGCATCGTAACCACTGCTTCACAAATGTACGTTTCTGCGGTGCATTTCACAGTGAAACAAAACACTACATTTCTTCGTGGAACGGGCGTGCAGCCAGTGATGCGTTCGTATCCTTAATTACAACAATATCTCTAAACGAGCCAGCGACATGGCTATGGAGAGTAGCTCCCCTACGCCAATGTACACGTGGCAAGGGGGTGACGAGGGTTTCCACCTGGAAGGTACAAAAAACGAGATATATCAACGGGAAGAATAATATCTCAATACCAGAACGAGGGGAGAACTATTACTACGCTACGGACAAATTACAGGCATATTCGCGTCCTGATTTTTCTGTACGGCAAAATGATATTCCTGGGTAAACCAGGACAGGTGGCAACCCTCGGGGTGGCTCTTGCGGGCCATGCGGCTGTATCCGTGCGCATCCCAGATGGTTCGCCGCTGCATGGTTCATGTTTTGGGATGCCAAGAGAGAGCCGCCACCAGCCTGAATCGCGATGGAATTGTCGCATCGGCCCTGGTTTACTCAAGTCTGCCTTGCATTTCGTTAAATGTGTGTGCGCCATGATTTGAGCCGTGCAGTGTACAGCGAAACAACTTGCAGAGAAAAAAACCCCGATGAACCCATCTTGCCGCGAAGTAAAATGCCTCACCTTTATTTTGAAGAAAGCTGTGAAAATGTCCCGTGAAACTTGTTTCTAACTGTATGATATTTTGTTATATAGTAACCATTCAGTTGCGATGAACTAGATTACGCAAAGTATGCAGCGCATTCAAATGTGTGAGAGAGCAGAGTGATGTTTTTTTGCATGAAAGATTGCTGTTGTTTGAAGGGATACCATTGAGATTTACTCTGAAAAGTTCACAAAGTATACATTCTCAAGCTAAAATGACACAATTAGTCTCCACTGAAGCATGTAAAGTATTTTTTGTTTAAATTACTCAAACATATGGAGGGAAAAGATTTGTAGATTTAGAATGATGCAAAGAACCGGCTGCTGTAAAATATCATACTGAAATGTTTCCCACTTATAGCCACCATTATAAGTGCACATTAATGACTGTAATTACATGAGGCTGGGAAACCAGGAGTATAATATGAGAACATATTACTCCTGTAGCTGAAATCTGGGCCGTATTCATTTTTTAAAATCTTTAACACAGCTCATTTATTCCAAAGAAGTAGCAGCAAAAATATAAGTCTATTGTCACGGGAAACGAGAAAGTAACACTGTGAGAGTAATCATGCTGATGAAACACAGCATACCATTTGTCACCACACCTCCCTTTCCTCGCTTCCATAGTTCGCTATTTATGTAAGCGCACAAGTCGTTGAACTTGTAGGTAAATTGTCTATTACATGTGATTCTCTGTGTACTGCTTAAATAGTGTTTGCCATTTCTGACAAATACAAGTGTTAAGTACAGTATTAGCAACATACTTAATCATGCTTTATTAACGTATCTTTTTGGCTACCAAAATTGATATGTCAAGAACTGACGTGGCTTAATTTAAGCATGTTTTGTACAGTGTATACATATTATGCAGTGCGCTGTGTAGCATTGTGGTCACAAAAAACATAAGTGGCCATGTTGGACTAATTTGTATCATTAAGTCAATTAAAATGTCATTTATGCATGGGGAATTAAATATAAAATGTGAATCTTATTTGCAGGTGCATCAATTACGAGCAAAATTTCTATGAAAATCAATTACATTTCAGCCAACATTTGAAAATGTTTCAGCTGGAGCTATTCAAACATTTCTAGGTGGACTTTTAGCACAGAATTAAACTTTTGAAGAGGCTTTTCATCGAGGTTTTAGCTCAAATCTTTCTTTTTTAAACAAATAAAGCAGGCTCATGTTACGTTGGTCAATTTTATGGTGACCGCATGAAGTTCTCCTAAAGCCTCGCTTCTATTGCCAGCAGCTGCGCTCGGATCTGCCACGTAGCACCCTACACGGTGCGGCGACGTTATTTTGAAGAACGTGTGGAGCTGACTGCTCTGATTTACTGTTAACGTGGAGGGCACCAGGGTTATTCCACTGTAAAATAAAATGAAAATGTCCATCTTCGCCAGGTTTTGCCAATGTAACTTTACAGCCTGAGCTGTATTCATCGCGGACTGACATTGGGCCCGGCCGAGTATGCTCACGAAATATTTCAGGTGCAAATAATGCAGAAAAACTATAGCACCGCATGAGAAACAAAACATTTAATTTCTCATAGATATTTTTCATACAGACAGTTAAATACCTTGATATTGAGATGCAGTTTCTCAAGAGCTGATTTTCCACCACCTAAATTAAAACTATAAACTAAACTATTTTTTTTTATTTTACCAGGTTTGGCCCATTGAACGAAATAGCTATTTTTTCGAAGCGTCCTGGCCACAAATGATAGCTCAACGAAGTGACTTATCGTGTGGAAATGTATTGCAGCCAAATACTCTAAAAGCACGTTTCTAAATTTAGAGGGAAAAACCAGAGGACCAGAAAAAATTCCACACGACCACGGAGAGAACATGCAAACTCCAAATATACAACAGGCATCGGGTCCTGGGTCGAACCAACGACCTCCTGCATAACAGGCGAGGTAGTTAACAATCTCACCACCGTGGCACCACCTCTATAGGTTCAACAAATGTGACACCATTACCTAACGTTTATTAGAACGTGGGGTCGGGGGGGGGGGTCGAAGGTGGACAATGTCTATATGCGTATTTATCTGAGAGATTCCCTCTCCAGCGTATGCTCTCTCTGTGTGTTGTCTCTTGAGAGCTGCTAGGGATACCAATGTTTTCAGCATGTTAATTTTTGCCAGTACAATCAGGGCAGTGTTGAGTCTTCATCGTGTGAAAGGGGCCCAGTCAAGCCATGCATCCCTCATTGTTTCCAACAGCAACGTGTTTTTTTTTTATCGCGGAGATAGTGCTTTGTTTGCTAAGGAACCATTCCAGCCACTTGCTAAATTAAAAATTACATGTGTTCATATATACAAACGTCATTCTCGATCTAATGGGGTGAAGCTGCGCATTGTTTTCAGTATGCTCTGATTTGCATGGTAAAATGAAGAGTATCAAAAGTAGTTTGTAATGGCTCATATCACTTTATGTTAGAAATTATATTAAATATTCCCGTATTATCATGCTAATTTTATTTTATAGTAATACTGCAAACATAACATTATATTTATAGCATGCCATAGATTCAGTAAAATTAAATCATAAATATTCCGCTATAAGTCATATATATGCATATTTGTATATTACATACAATAAAGGAAATGCCTATTTATTTCAAATATATTAGCATCACTGCGCCCGAGTGCAGTACTAATGAACAGCTGGCAGCCCGTTTAGACTGAGGTTGGATTCTGTATATATGCGTGGATTATTTTTAATTGAATGTTGAATCAAGACGTTGGGTGTTATGTCAAGCTCAAGGATGGGCCCTCGCCAAGGTGAGATTGACGCGGTCTTTGTGGTGGATTTCACAAACTGGCCAGCGGAGTAGCTATTTCGACTGTGAAGTTATTTTCACGTCGATACCAACTGCGCACCTGTAAATAGAAACTCTACTGCGGTGACATTTACGCGGCTCGTAATCATTGACATCCTTGTGAACATTGACATCTTCGCCGTAAAACGACGGGGACCCCCCCGCGAGATGAAGGTAAAGAAACTAAAACTGGCGAACTGTTGGTGGCTGTGCTATTATAACATTTCGGGGGCAGATCTTTCGTCTCCCCCGTTTTTGAAACATTTTTGCTCGTTGGATTGTTAACTGAAGAAAAAGTGGACATTTTAGTTTGCGTAGCCAAAATGTAGCTTCGTTGTTACTTGTGTGCAGATGGAAGGTTTGCGTCTGAGATAGGGGTGTTTTTTGTTGGTTATATAACAATCTGCTTCGGACACCACCCCCTGTACACGTATAATTTATACGTTCTTATCTGCTGTACCCCTGCCACCCGTGTTGTTGTCATGCTCTCACGCTGTTCTCTGGCTCAATAAAATGAACAATCAGTGAGCCCTGTTCTCTGCTGTCGCCTTTCGAGTGAGCCGACCATCCCGAGTAGAGACCCCCCGCCGCCCTCACCCCATCCTGAAGAACACAACAAACACAACTGTAGTGGGTGCTGCAATTCAAAGTGATACATTATTCTGATTCAATTTGATGGGTTTTTAAAAAAACGGGTATTAATGTAGCACAAATAAATGTCTGCCAAGGGTGATGATGAACCCACAATTGCTTGCTCACGCCAATGCCGGCAGGAGGTATCTCGACAGAGCTCTAAGAGGCCCACGTGACACAATATTTGGCTTACTCTTCCACGAGGGCCAGACATCTTTGTAGAAGTGTGATTACTCACACTTTACCCCACCGCACGCGACCTGCTCATCGACCGACTGCGCTGTACGTATTTATACTGCAGGGTGGACAGAGGTGGGCATTGAAGAGACGTGCACAATTGCTCAACTGCCACGACGGGAGATCGGACCGGGAAGTTGAAGTCCAATGTGCTAACCATTGCACCGGGCGCAGCATTAGGTATGGTGAATGTAGCGGCAGCTAATGGCTGCCACATATTAATCTAAATACATGGATTCTTTCACACTCACACGTTGATCTAATTAATTATCCAGAGCAAAATAATATAGAATGCATGCATTGTTTCATCTATAAAAACAAAACGTCCTCCACACAATGACCGGTTAGTTGACGAACAGAATAAGCGCCTGTTAGAATATTTAATTGCTATTTGCTTCAAGAAATTATACTCTAAATACGAGTGTTTTAAAGTATTCATTTATCAAACGTAGCTTTTAACTAAGGCCGAATGACACAAGTCTTAGCCCACACATTTGTACAGAAGAGGGTTTCCACCTCTGAGCTACATAAAAAAAATGTACTGGAAACATCATGGAAAGCAGAATATCTCACAAAAATTGAAGAGGGGGATAACTAAATGAAACTTCGAAAAATAATAGACTTATAAATGTTTAATTCTCCAGGAAGAGTGGCAGACTTACTTGTCAGGACAGGAAGCTCCTGGTTACACCAGACCACAGGGATTATTGTGTCCGTCCGTCGTGCAGGGAGGGGCTGGGTGGGGAGCGAGGGGCTGGGTGGGGAGGGGAGGGGCTGGGTGGGGAGGGTGGGGAGGGGCTGGGTGGGGTGGGGCTGGGTGGGGAGGGGAGGGGCTGGTCACCCAGTGGTGCCCTTATAAAACTCAACGTTTAACCTACTCACGCCGGCTTGTGCCCGCCCTCACAGTCGGGCATATTTGCGGAATACACCACGCCGCCGTTGACCCTGGCCATTGACCGAGCAACCCAACATTCCTACCAGCTCCCTCCGCAGGAATGTGTTAAAAAGATGATGGGAAAATCCAGGATATGTGGCAACCCTAGTTCTGAGCTCTGTAAGCATATTAATTGACTGAACAGACGATGGCGTCTGATTGAGAATTCACTGCTGGTTCCACCGAAGCACTTAACATCCAGTGCAGATCAAAGCAACGGTAGCATTGTTTTTTTACCAAAAGATGTGTTGCAATGGGGAAGATGATGCCCTCCTGTGGACACTGTTGTCCAAGGTTTTCCGTGAGCAATCGACTGGCCACACCGCAACTATTAAAAGGTGTCTCTGTGTGACACTCCAACAGGAGGCCCTAAAAAGCGTGTCTGTGTTTCACAACCAGCGGCAAAATGTAACACTCTAACCCTCGCTTCGTAAATTCGACGATGGAGTGAAAATGTTCCCTGCGTGTGTTTGACAGGTGTGGGTTTTTTCTCATCGGCATATATTCTATAATAGCTTTACCACCCGGGACTTGGATTCACCACGCCCGGCCGCCTTTGTCGCCCCCCCTCCCCCCCCTGTGGCGATGTTCACACACCACACGAGTTACTCGTTTGAGGCTGAGTCGACCTAGGGGAGACCCAGGACCGGTTCATATAATCGTCACCGGTGGTGGCTGTGAGCAGGAATCGAACTCGGGTCGCCGGGTTCGTAGCGCTGCGCGCGAATCGCTACACAGTCGCTGCCCCCCCCCCCCCACACAGGATAAAGACAAAGCTCCCCCGTGTAGCCTGTGAGACTGTAGGGGCAAGTGCTGTTAGCGAGCACCTATGAAGGCCGGCACGGCACACGAGGGGGTGGGTGGCCAGCACCACGCCCAGCCGCCTTTGTCCCCCCAGTGGCGATGTTCACACCACACCAGTTACTCGTTTGAGGCTGAGTTGACCTAGGGGAGGCCCAGGAGCGGTTAAAATAATCGTCACCGGTGGTGGCGAAGAACGCCTTGGACCTGCAACACATTTGTATGGCACTTTACTCGCGGAGGGTTGGGGGGAGGGGTGATTGACGTCAGCAGGCACACTGCGTGACGCTTCTGCATGCGGGTGACGTGACAGAGGTGACGGTGACGTCACAGCTCACTTGCCGTGCTAAATATATCCATTATTGCCCCCCCCCAAAAAAAAAATATACAAAAGTCTATTTTTATAGTTTTTGCATGGTGTGCAGTCTGGAAAGTACCCACATGGCAAATTTCAAGTTTGTTGCATGTCGGGAAGTACGCTAAACATTTTGAACAGACACACATTCACAAATTTCCCTTATAAATATAGATTCCCTTTTATATATATATAGATGACACGGACACGAGCTGTAATTAAAGCCAGAAGGGAGCCCACTCGACCGCCTGTGACGGTGGCTTCCAACAGAAGGAGATGACATCTGCCAGAGATTCCCAGCTGATAAGAGAAACCCCCATGGGTAATAATGGCAACCTTTCTTAGGATGAAGTGGTCCTGTTTGCATTAACCACCGTCGGCAAGTAAAATATTGAACGTAGAAAAAAATCCCAAGCTGACTCCTGCAGTCTGGACATTATAGGAGTTGTCAAGTAAATCCAAGTTGAACTGAAACTCCCACCCACGTGACCCACCGCCCACGTCCCACCCGCTTGGTTGTTTAAATTTTGTGGGTCATATTTACACGCGTTTCTTCTAACAATGGGGGTGGGGTGGCACGTGCCCCCCCCCCCCCCCCCAATGATCCGATCGAAATCCCTAATTTAGATCGGATCATTGGGGTTTATTCGTAATAAATCGGCATTTTGCGACCCCGACTGCCACTGTGTAGCATATTATGACGTGCCAGGACTCTATGAGATAATAGGACAATAGTCTGAGTCCATAATTGGCAACAAGTAACGGCAAAGCAGTTATAAGTGACTCAGAATTGTGCGCAGTTGCGTATTCAGTCCACGACTTCTATGAAGGAATTCACCTTCAGCGAGCGCGATGCCGATCACACAACGCGGTTCGAATTCGACCCTCGATCGATGGCTGCACCATCGCCGCACACGCGTCGAATAAAAAAGCAAGGGACAAGTCTTTACTTACCAACAACTCCTCTATCATTTTTCATTGCTGGAAGAGTTCCCCCCCCCCCCCTACCTGAAAATCCTGGCTCCGCCATTGATAATTTACCCATCGCCAGCAACGTTTCCACACGAGTGCGTCGATTAGCGAATTGAAACTGTTAATTGCTACCAGTGTGATTAATTTACATTCCACAAAAATATCACCGACGGCAGACTCGTGTGGCGTGTGTGTGTGTATTTGGTGTTCCGCGTCATTTCATTTCCCTTCCACTCTCCTTCCCAGAGACTCCAACGCACTCTGGCATGTTGAGTGCACCGCATTTAGCTGTAGGTTTAAAAAAAACCTCACGGGGTTTTTTTTCTCCGTTTGCCTGTGTTTTGATGAAGTTTCTGCCATGTCGGCGTTCTATATTTATTTCTTTTTCAAACCCCACCATCAGGCAGCTTGACCTTCAAGCGTTGCCACACACCGCAAGCGCAGCAAGCAGTGCAAGAGCAGATGGAATCAGCAGAGTCACACCCAATCCCTCTCTAATTAACTGAAGCCTCCCACGCCATCGACGAGCTGCTGCTGCTGATGATGATGATGACAGCAGCAGCAGCAGCCGTGTGGCACAGGGACACGAGCCCTGAAACGTCGCGCAGCAGTGGACTTTTCATTTCGGCGGCCCCCCATTGCAGCTCGCAGTTTCTGACGGAGTAAATAATTCACTGGGCCATTAGTTTCCATATAGACGCACGCATTAGCCGATAGCTTAACAGTTTGGACTCAAAGTTCTTTTACTCTTTTCAGCATCGCGTGTCGTTAAACGTGACCTTTAGCTCTTTTTATTGCTTTAGCATATGAGTATGTATGTACGTATATCTGATGGACTTGCGATTTGTGGTTGTCAGTATCAGGTCTTAGCAGAGCATGTTTAATGGGACCATTATCTAAAAGGCCACCGGAGGATATGGGCTCACACTGTTTATTATCAGCCCTTCGAGTTGCATGAATTGTTAATTAATGCACGCATGCGCGTGTGGTCCCGTGCTGATTGCTGCACGAAGTAGGTTGTGATTGATAGTAGCGTTAACAGTTTTTTTCCCTATTAATTTTGGAGAGCTGCATCATTTCTGAAGGCTCACTCTCTGCAAATTAGCACGGAATCAGTGACTGCATTGTCACCATAATTGGAGAACAGTGTGTCAAAAGTCTTTAATTATCAATTGCGCCGTTCTTCCTAATGAGCTCACATGCTTTCCTGCTGTCAGCTGCCATCTAGTGAGGGAGACCCCCTGCAGCGATGAGCCACGACCAGGCTTCACAATGCTCACTTCAACACCCTTGGCGCTGGAGGGAGATAACGCGTGCAAGGTGATGTCAAGTCAACATCGCCGCGTCCTGTCGAGGCGGTGAAATGTCAGGGTCTGAGCGCGGGGTGCTGCAATTGTGCAATCGAAGGGGCTTGGGAAGCATGTTTAATTCACTTTCGGTGACATGCCACGCATATTGACCCACGCATTGATGGCCTTTGGAACAACGTGCCTTTTTCACCTGTTCTTCCCCCCTGCATCGACGTCGCAATGCATCACCCAACCAGATATACGCAGCCTTTCACTCCCGCTCCATGCATCTAGTTCTGCTGGAATC